AGAATTCTGTATGTGGTCTCCGAGGTACCTAGTCCCCAGGGTGGCCGGTTTCCACGTCGTCTCCTGGAGTTTTGTGGAAATTCGTTATAAACTTAGCCGAAACTCGTTACCTCGGGGTTTTTGAGGCCATGGGACGTGTCTTCATTTACCCCTCGAAAGTGTTCGTATTTACCCCAGAGCATTTAATTTTTGGGGTAAATGTGGACACCTGTTTTAAACAAAACAAACCCATGGAGACGAAAATGGTTTGAATCCGACAGACTGGGGATGGGAACTAAAAGAACAAACCTTAGTTCCCTTAAAAATAACTCAGTTACCTGGTCCACCAAGGATCATGAATATGATTTTCTGTGGGTGCAAAACTGATTGCGGAACTTCGTGTGGATGTAGGAAGCACGGATTGAACTGCAGCATCGCGTGCAAAAATTATGCAGGCATTAATTGCACGAATAATGAAAAATATAAAACTGAATACAATAAATATAGAAATAAATTAAATGATTTAATTAAAATCACTAAATCAAATTACTATAAATCTAAAATCATAAATAATCAAAAAAATTCTGCAGAATTGTGGAAATGTGTGAAAGAAATAACAAATGAAAAACCGAAAAAGGCTGAGATCAAACAAATATTAACTTCTGAAGGTTATGAAACAACAAATATAAATAGAATTTCAAATGAGTTTATTGACTATTTCACAACTATTGGGAACAGTCTCGCAAATGAAATAAAAAACAAAAATGTAAATAATAAAACCTATAAAATTACTCAGCAAGTAAATTCTATGTTTCTTGATGATACATGTGAAATGGAAGTCGTGGAAACCATATTATCCTTAAAAAACAAAAAAGCACCGGGGATAGACAATATTAAAGCAGAAACGCTGAAACTTGTCGCATGTGAAATTTCACTTCCATTATCTTATATTATTAATGTCTTTTGCAAAAGGCATATTTCCAAACTCATTAAAAACAGCAGTCATTAAACCCCTATATAAAAGTGGCGATAAATTACAAGTATCAAATTACAGACCTATCTCCTTGATTTCGAATATTGCGAAAATTTTTGAAAAAATAATAAAGAAAAGAATAAACAGTTATTTAAATAAATACAGTATTCTATCAAATCAACAATACGGTTTTAGAGAGGGTATCTCGACACAGGAAGCAATAGTAGCATTAACGTCATATCTTTATAAAGCG